ACTATGCATCATGTGTTGTAAAATGTCGAGGGCATTCTATTGACACCAAACACTCTACAAGTACATCAACATTAAAAGTACATTAACATAGTTCCCATATCCTTACGTCATTGATGCTTTTAAAAAGGCCTGAAAGTACGAATGTGTATAGTCTATATCAGGGATTGTACACATTACAAAAGTTAAATGAAATTAAACAAGAGATTTGGGTTCTAAATGTCTTTGTTTAATTTTGAGGAATGTCTTGTCTGTGAGCAGAACGTTGGCTAAAGAGGTTTTTTTTTCTTTCTTATCTTATCTTTCATGTTCTTTTGAAGTAGGCAGAGAGTGGTTCTGTGAAGTCTCCCAGACTTGTTAACATGTCACCACGGATTACTAAGCCAGACTTTTCGTCGCCAAGTGATTTTATTGTCACCCAGATTCACCCAGATTGTTTTCTGGAATGTTAAATGGAATGTTTATCTCCAGAATGCAGGTTACAATATGTTACAGTTCCCTATTCAGGGAACGTGGGTTATGTACGTAACCTGAACGTTTTGCTTTTTCAGTATACCGAAGTGGTCTTTTCTTTGGTGTGTGAAGAGTTTGAACAAAAGATGGCCCACATAATAAACACAAGAGCCTCTTCCTGACCAACCACCAATGTATTAAATATGAAATGCATTAATTACGCTTGCTTGATGAATAACATAATAAAGACACATCAGAAATGAGATATTCTCAGTTGTTTTTAATGGAAAATGCCCACATACTAACTTCTTTGCAGGATTTAGACATTGTGGTGGGCCCCAACAAGTTATGTCATGTTTTCCACATTTGGTCACCAGTGAGGTGCAAGCCTTGGTGGTTTAACCCTTGTTTGTTTTGCTGTTCAGAAAAAACGGTTACTTGGCTTTTTTTTTCCAGTTGTTGTAAAGAAAACCTTGTCATGGTGATATGTCTGAAGCAATTTTGAAATCTGTGTAAAAATAACCATGTCGAGACAAACATAAGACCATGCAAGTCATTATTTGTCAAGTGCAGAGCTTAGTATAACACTTTATTTGAGCTAAACGCACACTGCAAACAGTTTGGGAAAAAAGTATACATGCAGGGATTTAATGTCAGAGATTAATTTTGTGTACACAAACAAGGAACTTGTTTGAACACAAACTTGAAAGTATATATAATGCATGTCATTTGAACAGAAACAAAACCGCTGTCCTTTACACTACATACCACATCACTAACAGGAAGTCATCACACCCCCACATTTTGGCCATTTGAGCATAGACAAACGCTCTAAAGTATGTTCAAGTGCACCTACAAATGTGTTTATGTATTTTAACGTTTTAATTTACTTAATTTTAAATAAAGTAAAACTTCTTCATGTCTACTGTAATGTAATTCTGTCACTGACCTGCTTTGTCGTTGAATGGGAATCACCTAGCCATTGTTTTTTAGTTAAAAGGTTAGTTCATACAAAGAGGGAAATTCTGTTGTTAATTACTCACTCATGTGACTCATGTCATTAAAACCCCTGAGGCATTTGTCCATCTTTGGAATACAACTTAAGATTTTTTAGATGAAATCCAAGAGCTCTCTCATCCTCCATACATAGCAATGGTCATTCTAAGACTAGAAAAAGAACAAAAAACATTGTCAAAACATTTCTTGTGACTCCTTTGGTTCAGCTGTAATCATAAGAAGCTCCAAGAACACTTTGACTTTTCTTCTACGATAGCTCAGGGTATGCATTTTATCAAGATTTGTGTTCCAATGATCAAAAAAGGTAATTTTGGTTAGACTAATTTCATTTTGGGGTGAACTAACGCTTTAAATCACATGTCTGCCTAAATGGGGGCTTGTATACATGATGGTGGGATGGAATTTGAAGTCTGTTGGAATTCTGGGCCACTTATTTAGATTATTGGTTTGGCCCTGTTAGTTCAAATTAAAGTTCCACTCTTGCCAGAATGCTTTAAAAACCCATTTCAAAAAATCTAATTTATACCATTTCTGGTACCACAAAAGCTGAAAAAATACTAATAGAACTACTATTCTATTGGTTGAAATTTCCTTTAACACATCAAATTTTCTATATTTGAGTTTTAAGTGTTGAACATTTTCAACATTTCAGGGTTGTACACTTTCAAACTTTCTATTTTAAAGGTGAAGTACAATTAGGTTACATTTTAAAATCTAAAATAGCTTGTGTTGCCCACAGTAGCCACTGGTGTCGTCTAGTAATCTAGCTCACCATCAGCTGCTCTTTGAACTGGAGCAGGGTTCAGATGCGAGATGCATAAACAGGGTAGTGCTTTCAGCCACCGATAATGTTCTTATTGATCATGTATTTTAACTGAAATATAGTCAGTCAAACCTGAGCATTCATTTAGTTGTTTAGTGTAAAAGAGGTAAGCGTAAGTGAAAGGTAAACGCCGTCTGGTGCAGCAGACAAGCGCCAAAAATCACAGTCAGGAAGCGCCTGGCCAGAAGCGATTATTCAATAAAAGTCCCCATCCACGGAGGCGGGCCGCTGCGCTTCTTTTCCTGTGTCACGAAAGTGTCAACTGCATTTAAATGACATAAGCATAAAGCTTCATTTTTGCAGTACTTTTGAGCTCAAATTATAATAAAAATATATTAACCTTCAGAATAATGCGGGACACAAAATTCATCCATGTGGGCTCATTGATCTAAAATTTCTTTGCGGCCCCCCTAGCTCCATCTGGCGGCCCCCCAGGGGGCCGCGGACCCCAGTTTGAAAACCTCTGACTTAGAATATGCACACTTGAAATAAAACAAATGCCATTAGGATGCTAAACATGCTTGGCTAGTTAGGACAATTGTGATTGGTAAACAAAAATATGGTTGTGACAGCTGGACATTTAAAATATGATTGAGGGAGGATTGATTTTGTATTGTGATTTTACGGTAGGCTCTAAAGGGGGTTTCCAACAGAAAGGGCTTGAAACGCAACAAACCAGATGTTATACTTAAGGCAGGGGTGTCCAAACTTGGTCCTGGACGGCCTGTGTCCTGCAGACTTTAGCTCCAACTTGCTTCAACACACCTACCAGGAAGTTTCTAGTATACCTAGAAAGACCTTGATTAGCTGCTTCAGGTGTGTTTGATTAGGGTTGGAGCTAAACTCTCCAGGGCTATGTCCGAAACCGCATACTTCCACACTATGCAGTACGCTAAAATCAGTATGCGAGAATTCGAAAATCAGTAAGCGAGAAGTACCCGGATGACTTACTACTTCCAGTGATATTCTGTAGTGCACAATCCCATGATGCACCGCGAGAGAATTCATGAATGGGAGTGAAGCGACGCAACTGCTGCAGGTAGGTCACGTGACCGTGACAAAATGGCAGATGTAGTATGTCCGAATTCCATTCATACATTTCATATTCATACTGTATAGAACGTACTTTTCTAACGGCGAGTAGTATGTTTAAATTCTAATGCAGTACCTACTGAGTAATAGTCGGTTTCGGGCGCAGCCCAGGACACCGGGCCTCCAGGACCGAGTTTGTACACCCCTGACTTAAGGGAATAATGACCAAACTGTAGCTCACACAATTCAGCCATTTGATGCCAAGAGCTTTCAAAATACATTGTGAAATGTCCGACATTCCAAATGTCAAATATGTGATATAAGGCCATTTATTTCATCAATTAAATGGCTTAATAATGATCTGGGACTGACATCAGCTGCAGTAGAGACCAAAGCTGCTGCATTTACAACTTATTCATTTATAATTTTCTCCTGAAATACACAAAAGCAAGTGGCTGATTAACAGGGAGAGGAATAGAGTAAATGTCCTAGTAACATCTCCTAGCGTGTATCTTACGTGAATTAAGCAACTCGTCCAATTATAATTAAAAAAAGTTATTACTGTTTTCTCCATAGTCATCAGCATGTATTTTACAAAAGATCAGTATTATATTTCGCTAATAGTCTATGTGTGGTTGAATGTCTGAAACCTAAAGTAAATGTTATTTGTTTGAAAACCCCAATAATTTATTAACCCCGGGTTAATAAAGGGACTAAGCCGAAAAAAAAATGAATGAATGAATGAATGAATGAATATTGGTGTTTTCCCAGAGAAGGGTTGTGGCTGGAAGGGCATTCTCTTAGTACATCATGAGCTGGATAAGTTGGCGGTTCATCGCGCTGTGGCGACTCCGAATTAATAAAGAGACTAAGCCGAAATTAAAATGAATGAATGAAAAAGTATTGGTGTCTGTGACGCAGCCAATCTAGAGACTGTTGTGTGCACCATGATTGTATAAGAAACACACTTTAATGTCTGATATTTGACTAAAAAGTGGTGAAAAACGAATATTATCTCAATTCAAATGAGTAGTCACTTGGACTCGAAAACAGTATTCCATACGTCATGATTTAACAACCATATACATTATAGTCATCCATTCAGTACATTTCTGAACTTTGACTCTTGCATCCCTGCAAATTTACCATGACTTGCAGTTTGGAGAATATTTCTTTATTTATTTATATATTCCCTGGGACTCAAACACAAGATCTTGATGTCCTTGTCACCACGTTTTTACAGTTTGAGTAGATGAAATTTAACTTTAATGTAGTAATTTGCACCCTTTTAAGGGTAGATAATGTTTTTTTTCTGCATCTCTGATCTCATATCGATCTGTTCTAGTAAAATGTTTTTAAATCACATGCTTTGATGGTAGTGACCTTCCGACAGATGGCTGGCATTGAGTTTGTTTGCTCTGAAACACATGTCTAGTCAAAGAAGAAACAGGTTGAGATAAAGATCACATTATAAAGTCTCACAAATGCACTTTGGTAAAATATTGCTTGGTTAATTCATCTGAAAGCATATCAACAGATATCTGCGCTAATGCACAATAGATAATTTGGTGTCTATTGATGTTGGTCCTGGAGATATAATGGATTCAGCTATTACTCAGACCAGCAGTAGTTCTCGAAGAAGACCATTCTGCTCTTTCAGACCACTTCAGACCCTGACAACACAGCTTATCTCCAACATCAATAATATTAATAATATAATACAAACAATAATACTGACACAGCCATGAGAAGTAGCGCTGGGACGATCACAGTGGCTCTGGTTCTCTGCATTTTTCTACTTATTGGCATTTCTGGGAACCTGCTGATCATCTGGAGCATCCTGACTCGAACCCGTCAGCGTTCCATCACCACTCTCCTGATCTTAAACCTAGCCTTCGCGGATGGATTCCTGATGCTTTTAATACCTTTTTTTATTGTTTATTTGGTAAAACACACTTGGGTCTTTACCCTGCCGCTGTGCAAGATACCGTTGTACCTCTGCAGTGCCAACATGTACGCGTCTGTATTTTTGATAACACTAATGAGCCTGCACAGGATGGTGGCTATAGTATTGCGGAAACATGCTGGGGTCCTTACAGAGCAGAGAACAATCATTAAGGTGTTGGAAGGAGTGTGGATCCTTTCTCTTGGGGTGTCAGTGCCTTATTCAGTTTTCTGGACCACTTTCAGGGAAGAGCAAGAACCAGCAATTGTAATTTGTGCTTGTAAACATCTACAAGCACAAGATGTAAGTTACATTTGCCATTCTCTTTCACACCGTCCATTTCCAATAATTAAAAATTTTAGAATTTTTTCAGAAACTACATTTTTTAGTAGTGGTAGTTTTTATTTAACATTGTTTCAGCTGATCTGCTTATGCAGTTTAGTTTTTCGAGATTCCGTATCTCAGAAAGGTAGACATGAGGCTAAAGTCCATTCTTTTCAATTCTTCTCTAGATAATTTCTCAATAGCTATGTCTTTTTATTCCAACGAAAGGAATATCGTATTAAACATTTGCAAAACAAAAGCACAGTTTCAATCCAACAAGTTAAAGATAACAAAAGCATCACTTCCTTTTAAACTGGTAAAACCATTTGCAGTGGTAGAAGAAGCCGAAGTGGGCCTTTCTCTTTTACATAATCAGAGTTTCTGCAGATATCATAATGTCAAATTTAAGACTTTTTAAGACCTTTTTAAGACCATTAAGCATTAAATTCAAGACCTATATCACAATATCAAAAACAGGCATACACATAAAGAGAATTCAAACTGAACAGTACTAAAGACAGGTTAGATGCACCATTGAACTACAGAAAACACAAACAAACATCTTAATGCTGATTTATACTTTCGCCTGGAGCCACATTGAGCACCTCAAGAATCGGACAAGGCTTTTATACTTGATGAGTTCTTTTGAAATATTCTTTTAAATGACACGAATAAATGTTCATTGTTGAGATATTCTTTTAAAAGAAACAGACAGTAAAATCAGATGGATAAACAATAAAGTAGTACGTTTCGGAAGGTCATACTGTTAATATCATTAAAGATTTTTAAACTAATTGGTTTTATTATTTTTATAATTTATTATAAAGATTTTTATAATCTTTCAAGATTTTTTTAAATCTAAATTTTGTTTTTAAATCAAAATGATGCATCACTTGCTTTTGTTCATATCTCAGACAGTTCTACCTATTAAAGTTAAATATTAATGGCAACAGAACATGGGTTGCTCTACAATTATATTTTTTTATTATGGCAAGAATAAAAAAAAAGTACACTTACTAAAAATACTGACATTTTTTTTTATTTTGCCCACTCAACAATTCACACATCACTTTCTGGCTAGTTTCTGTTCTCTACTTATAAGCTAAATAGGCAATAATGGTCCAACATTCCTGACTATTATCAGCAATAAAGCCTAGAAATGGTAAAAATATTGTAAAATGATAGGTTCATATATTCCTTTCCAGTTACAGTTGAAGTGAGAATTATTAGCCCCCCTGTTTATTTTTCCCCTACTTTCTGTTTTTACTGAGAGCAGTTTTTTTCAACACATTTCTAAACATAATAGTTTTAATAACTCATCTCTAATAACGGATTTATTTCTTCTTTGCCGTGATGACAGTGAATAATATTTGACTAGATAATTTTCAAGACACTACTTTACAGCTTAAATTGACATTTAAAGGCTTAACTAGGATAATTAGGTTAACTAAGCCGGTTATGGTAATTAGGCAACTTATTGTATAACAATGGTTTGTTCTATAGACTATCGAAAAAATATATAGCTTAAAGGGGCTAATAATTTTGATCCTAAAATTGTGTTAAAAAATTATAAACTGCTTTTATTATAGCTGAAATAAAACAAATAAGCCTTTCCCCAGAAGAAAAAAATATTATCAGGCATACTGTGAAAATTTCCTTGCTCTGTTAAACATAATTTGAGAAATATTTAAAAAAGAAAGAACATTTCAAAGGGGGTTATAATTCTGACTTCAACTGTATTAAAGGAAACACATACTTTGTTACTTAATTTTAGTTTGCAACTTTAAAATTCTTTTAAATTCAAAATTGTAATATATAAATCAGTGTAAAACTGTAATATTAAAACCCCCTGGGTCCCTACTATTGCATGGCCTCTTTTTTTTTTAACAAACTCATCCCTCAGGTTTTTCCCAACTGTTCCAAAACATTCCTCCTTTTCCATGGCTGTCATCTGGTTCTCCTTGTGATCACACATAGACCGATTATAAAAATGTCTGTACAGACGTACCTGTTTCAGACAAAATCTCAAGTGTTATATTCAACTCAAATCAGATGTTTTAGCCTAATTGTATCTCTGGGGCCCCAAAATGGTGTGGTTCCTTAGAATCATCCTAACTCCCACCCTAGCAGCACCCCTGGATACACGTGCAGCTTTATTTTGAAATGTCAGACAGGCAGAGGTCAACGGGTAGACAACTAAAACAAGTCAAGGGTCAAGGAACACTGAAAGACTAGACACAGGTACTGCTTCATAATGTTACAGGGATAAACCAACAAGACTCAGCCAAGCATGTGGAAATGTGAGCTGTATAAATAATCCATGTAATCAGTCTTAGATCAACTACGAGCTGTGTGTGTGTGTGTGTGTAATCATCGGAGTTCCAGAAACAGGTATGTGTGGGGTGCATGACAGGATTTGTAGTTCATAAGGTGACAGAATTGAGGTCCCGGCGATGATGCATGCTTACCAGCGAGCCTGGATCTTAACAAATGTGGTCCTATTGCAACCATTTTGTTATCACATAATCTCTTAAAACAAAGTCACATGACTTTTTGATAATAATGCAATGTATGATAAAAAGTTTATCCTACTATTTTTATACACATTTTCAAAATGTATGCGCAGCTTGGCCTATTCATTAAGCATTTTTATTAAGATGTTTTAAAAGGCAAAAACAAATACTGTAGGTGGATGGAAAAATAGTTATTGACAAAAAAAAATAAAAAATAAAATGCATTAGTATTTATAGATTTTTATAGAATAAAGAGGCAACCCCCATACTGTAAATATGAAAGTAAACCATTTTAAGTGATGATTATGTCTTTTTAGGTGATAGTTCAGCACTGTTTGGAAATTCTGCTGGCATTCTTGATACCATATGGATTGATCTTAGGCAGCTACGTATGTATCCTACAAAGAATTCGCAAGACCCGGGTTTGCAGGCACATCCGAAGTGTGAAACTCATACTGGTTATTGTCACCGTCTTCGGCCTCACCTGGCTACCTTTCCACTTCATAAATATGGTGGAGGTGCGTGTAATGTATATATGTAAATATATATTTTTTATTAAATAAAAAAACTTAAGTAAATCAGGTTAATCCATTTCCTTAATTAAGTTCAATATATTGATAGGAGACTTTACTTTTATTTATTTTATCAGGTGGCTGCTGCTTTTTTCCCAGAGGATTCACCAACAAAAGTCAGGTAAGTGACTAATGCCGAATTTAGACGGCACATTATTAGCCCTGATTTTTACTAGTCAACATATTTTGTCAAATCACGACAGCTGAACAAAATTGTAATTTAATGTAATGTGCCATGGGATATTTAATGACCAGAGAGAGTCAGGACCTCAGTTTAATGTCTGATCTGAAAGAAAGCGCTCACTAACAGTGTAGTGTCCCCTTCACTTCACTGGGGGAATAGGACTCATACGGAACTCAGGTTGAGGGTCCCCTGCTAACACCACTCCCAACAGCAACCTAGTTTTCCCATGTTGACTCCCATCCAGGTACGGACCAGGTTCAGTCCTGCTTAGCTTCAGTGAGTAAGTGGTTGCAAATCGCTGCTTGTTTACACAAGCAACAATCAAACATTATGCATTATCAAAGGCAAAATCTGAGAAAATCGCCAACATGTCAATTCAAAAATCTTTTGTGCAGGGGAGTATTACAGAAAGCTGAGTTAACTTACCATCTGCTAAACCTGAACTCTTGGTTGATTAACCTAAAAACCTGCTTACCGTAAGTACAGTAGGTGAGAGTTCAAAGTGGCTATTAACGCCGCAGCATGTACCGCCGCCGTTTGAAATAGGTGCCGCTCTGTTTTTAGTGTATGACCGCAGTTTGTGAATGAGCCGCCAGGGGGCACAAAGGGACGGGATGCGAACGGACAGAAATAGCCCATACAGCAGCTACTGTGCTTGTAAATGATATTAAACAATAAGTCAAAGCATTATAATTCCTTCATTAATCATTTAAAATTTGTTAACACGCTTTATTGTAAACTTTTTAAGTGCAAAGAGGATTCGTTTTGGAAAATAAAATTGAAGAAGTAAAAGACAACTAAAATGAAAGCACAAACATTTAGTAAAAATAAGTAGTCTTAAATAAATAAGTGAAGTTTTTAAACTAATTTCGAGAGGAGCACGTGATATAATTGACAGCAGCTGGCCACCTATCTACACTCATTAGTTAGCCAATCAGATCTATCCTAACCCACTATAAGTAGCCTAGCTAGACATTACTCCCTTATCTTCGTTTTCCGAAGAAACAAACGACAGGTCCGCTCTAGCTCCTCCAAAAGTTACTCACGGACAAAACGGATCCTCCACATCTCCTACTATTCTTCAACTACAATACCACACCACCTTTAATACCATCGTCAGCAACTACAAAAAATGACAAAAACAACAACAACAGCGACGGCGGCTGAGATCACAACAGCATCAGCGCAGCTACATACAAGAAAGAAAGCTCCGGGCTCCCTGAAACACCAGCCCCGTCTTAACAACAACCAGCCCAGCATGAAAGTCAGCTCGAGACCGAGGCTCCAACGAGAGGCCGTAGGCCTATCCACTCCAGCCAGATCACAATGCAATCCCCAGCTCCGCTACGTACCTTCTCCAGCATCATCATGCGTCTCTCATATCCAACAACGACTGTCACTGAACTCCTCCAAACTCCTAGACGCCGGGACCATAATTCAAAGCCGCTGCATTAAACCCAAAACACTTGCGAATCCACGTCTTCACCGCCACCCCCAGGACATAACACGCTCCTGCCACACCCCCTATCCTAAACAGACATTAAACCCGCAACCTCTCCGCCTCCCCGGAGAATCAAGGAAAGGATTAAAAAGCAATATTGGATTTGGACATATTGCAGCAATCATAATTCTAAACACGGATAAAACCTATCTCCCGGACAATAAAGCAACTCTTGGGAATCCCACCTCACCTCTTCCATCCTGCAGCTCCCGATTCCAGTGCACACTCCAGTCCTCCTCTTTCAGCGATCCTTACCACCTACGCACCCCGCCCCTCTACCTTGCGTATCATTGCTTTTTCCCCCTCTCATTTTTACAAGCTCGCAGCTACTGCTGATTATTTTCTATTATAAAATAGAAATTACTTGTCGACTTTTGTCAATATGTTTATGCTTTTACTGAATTACGTTTGTAACTGACCTAATTTCTGAATTTCTCATTCCAGGTTTCGTCTACTGAAGCACAGCCGATCTCGGCGCTCCCTTCCCACAACCTCACTAGCCGTCCACCAACACTACACCAGAAATCACAGAGCAATTCCCTGTTAAGCACATCCATACCAGCCCTACTGAAATGGACATTAGAACGTTTCTAAAAACGTCTAATAACGGCTCTTTCATCTCCTCATAATTCTGCCTTTTTCAGCTTTAACAGCATGATTCTACCTGATGAATATGCTTAAATTATCACGTTATAAACCAAGCAATCTCTCTAATCTAGACGGCTGCAGCGCTCGGTTGCAATCAACATTACACCTGCCACCCGATTTCTGGCAATCGGAGGTCACAATTACAATTCGTAGTCCGTTTAACATTCGGATGCAAAAGTAGCCCACACATTTATGCTTAAAAACGATCCGCTGGATTTCGCCAATAACTACGGTGTTTGCACGTAATTCACCTACAAGTTCCCGTTTCTCTCTCCCTAATATCCCCCAGCTAAACTAGTGACCGGTTTTCTAATATTTGCATTCTCTTTGCGGAAGAACCTCCGGCTTAAGCACTTCTATAGAATTCTTAAGCATCAATTTGGAGTGATAGAATTTCAAGCATTAATAAGCTATTTGAATAAATCGACAATCAGTCCCCTTTTATATTCTGGAATAAAAATATCACGCTAAGCATAAACTGCTCTCCATCTAGAACATCAAACACACATGCGCATTATCCCGCAGGGATGCCTTTTCGTCACTCACCTATTTCATCTCGCAGCAGCAATCTCCGGAATAGAAGAGAAATGATCTAAATCCGATCTTGGCCGTAACAAACTCTGCCTGAAGGGCGTCGCGCACCAGAGGCGCCGACGGCGCGGTGACGCGACGCACTTACGACAGAGAATAGTAGATTAATGCACACCAGACTCACGCATTCATACCTTATCAAATAAACTAATCAATTATACAAATAGCGCTCCGCGGCGCGGCAGAATACGAAGTGTCATGAATTGTGGCTGGGCACTACGGACAGCCGCATTGACTTCCTTATTATTTATTTCCTTCCTGTGAAAGTCAATGGTTACAGGTTTTCAGCTTTCTTCAAAATGTTGTCTTTAGCGTTTAACACGGGAGTCACTAACCTCTGAAACTAAGAGCTACTTCGGGCACCGATTAACGTGGAGGGCTACCAGTTGGATAAACACTTCTCAAATAACAAATTGCTCAATTTACTTATAATTATAATTTAAGTTTTTGGTTATTTTTTAATAATGAATAATATTCATCCAGGTGTAGTCACTGATCATGTTATGATTCTCTCAAAGTTACCAACAATGATTTAACAGGGTAGGAAATACCCCGTAATTAATATATCAACGTGCAACACTATTTTATTTATCTTTGCAAATATTTACATTTTTAAATGATTACTTCTATTTTAGAGAAAGCTTACTTGTAAGTGGTGTTATGGTGAGCTATTTTAGAACAGGCCTGTGAGCAACACACGAGAGCCTCGTGAGCTATCTGGTGCCCATCGGTACCATATTTGGTGACTCCTGGTTTAACAGAAATGAAATTCATAAAGGTTCGTAACCATCAGGTAGCGCTTAAAGCATGCGACCTGCTTATGCTTCCTTCCTTAAGCGCTGGAATAGAAGCCATTCATTTATTAGCTATCCAATTTCATCCTCAGTATATCCTTTTTACACAGATGCTGCCCCCTTCGTGGGTATATTATCGGGGCCGCCAATGCGCTTCTAACGGGCAATATAGTCAATACATTCTGAAAAAAAAAAAAATACTGCTGTACATGTTCCTAGTTGCATAGGAAATCGCTGACTCTCTTTTGCTTTATTTTCAGAAACTGGTATCAGAAGCAGAGCCGCAGCTGACTCCATCTCTCCTTTTAAGATGATAATCCCATAACCACAGCATACACAATTTGCGTCAGCATTCATTTATACATTTTAAGTTACCCCAGAACACCTCATCAGTTTCTCACTGCTCAACATATCCACACATTCCGTTCAATAACATTTTTGGTTTCATAACACCTTAAAGTCATAGGACCATTCAGGCTTCCCACCAGATTCATAATCCAGTCACTCATTCAGAATTGGAGCCACCACCACAGCAGCACACAAGGGCTATCGTAACAACACATACAAACACTAGGAAAGTAGTCTCCCGACGCCTTCAAATCTTATATCTGACTCAGCCACAGCCATCTCAGGGAAGCTCAGAGGACCCTCACCAGCAGACGCAGTAATCCCAGCGGCCAAGGGCATGGGCCTAGTCCAGGGAGAGAATACAACCCAACCATACCAGCTTCCCGAGGGCAGAGGAACTACCCAGTCTCCCAAGGGCGCGGGCATGACCCAGCCATCTAGCTTCCTTTCTTCCTTCCAGCTGATTTGCACTCAGCCTTCTCCCCCTTTTCACTCACCTAACTCCAGTAGGAGTTCTCTCCCTGCCCAGGCCCCCTTGTCACCCCCGCCCCCCCCGGCCGCTGCCACAGAAGTTTTCACTGCCCCCCAACTTTTCTAACTTCTGTAGGACCCCGCCCCCCCCATGGCTCTGGCCCCCGCAGGGGCGTTACCCCGAGCTTCGATTCTCGCAGGAATCATCTCACTGCCCTGGCCTTAGCTTTTTATATTATGTCATTCCATAATGACATATAGTATAGCACTATTTATTTTTCTCTCTGTTTGATTTTATTTATATAAATTTATATCTATATGCACCCACGCATATAAATATGAATTTATATATAGTGCTGTCACCCTCACGCTCTGTTCCCGCAGGAACACCCCCAGAGCACCTATACCACCCGTCACCCTCCAGTAAGAAGTCTTCACCTCCCCCTCATCTTTCCCGACTCCTACTGGAGCAGCTAAATAGCTCACCCAACCCCGAGCTGTGACACGAGTCATGTCACCGACCCTCCCCGGCCCTAGCTTTTATTTATGTTTATTTTTGTTTATTTCTCACACTTATCTTTTATTTTTTAAATTTATTTATATATATGTATATATATATGCACCCACGCATATAAATATATATTTATATATAGTGCTGTCACCCTCACGCTCTAACTCCCGCGGAGTTAATCCCGAGCACCGGACCCCCGCAGGGGTCATCGCCCAACTGCCATTTCCCCCTTCAGCTGGGGCTTCACCGACCATTCCTTTTCCCGACTCCAGCTGGAGATGGCACATACAGCTCTCTCTCCCGCAGGAGAGCCAAGAGCTTCGACTCTCGCAAGAGTCAGTAAAAACGCCCCCCCAAGGCCCTAGATTACCCCATTATATATTTATATATCTATATGTTTCATATAAATATATAATTATATATAGTGCTGCCACCTCCCAGCTCAATCTCCGCAAGGAGTGTTCCTCGAGCAAATTACTCCTTTGGAGTCCCCGCCCCCCCTGCCCCCCTTCACCCCCCTCTCCAGCCGGAGTCCTTCACTCCCCTTCCCTTGTAATGACTCCAGCAGGATTCCCGCCCACCCCATGGCTCTGACCCCCGCAGGGGTCTCCCCGAGTCTCTACTCCAGCAGGAGTATTCACAGCCCAAGCCAACTCTGCTCGGGTTCCCGCAGGAACCTGTTTCACCCTTTGCTCCAAAGGAGCCCTCTTTACCTTTTCTTTTTCAAATAACTATATCCAGCAGCCGGATATAGCATTTCAAGCCTTTTGGGGAGTTTCTTCGAATACACGGCTGCTGTCCCGAGCTTCATGCATTTGGGGAGCTCTCGAGAACCACCTGATCTCGTACTCCCCTCACATGCTCTATGGACCTGGCGGGAGCCCTGGGCTCAACTATCTCCGAGCTCAGGGTTCTCTCCCGGGACAGCATGCCAAACCTGCTTACAGCTGTCAAGCAATATCTAAGTGTGAACTCTTGAAGTGAAGTTTTTAAACTAATTTCGAGAGGAGCACGTGATATAATTGACAGCAGCTGGCCACCTATCTACACTCATTAGTTAGCCAATCAGATCTATCCTAACCCACTATAAGTAGCCTAGCTAGACATTACTCCCTTATCTTCGTTTTCCGAAGAAACCCCCCATCCACCCCTTTCTCCTCCTTTTCTCCTTTACAAAAAGGGGAGCTCTCGAGAACCACCTGATCTCGTACTCCCCTCACATGCTCTTTGGACCTGGCGGGAGCCCTGGGCTCAACTATCTCCGAGCTCAGGGTTCTCTCCCGGGACAGCATGCCAAACCTGCTTACAGCTGTCAAGCAATATCTAAGTGTGAACTCTTGAAATAAATAAATAAATAAAGCAGCCTAAATATCGAAAGATGTTCAGTGTTTGCTATTTTGACAAGACTAAGACAAGACATTTTCATTTATGTTTTATTTCTGTTTTTATTTCCATTTTCGTTGTTGATTATATTTTACTATATCTTTTATGTCTCAACAATTGTGCATAATAATAAACGAATAATGAAAATAAATGAATAATGAAAATGGGCCTAAATAAATTATTTATTTAAAGACATTGCCGTACAGTACGTGAAACACTGAGAAACGGTCAGCAGCATGGTCTAAAGAGCTTAAGTTGAATGCTGCTTCATCAAAAGAAAAAATAAATTGACCTACCTTAAGCAGATCACTAAAAGTATAATAAAAATATTTTTGCCGCAGGACATAAATTAAGTCTCGCAGGTTTTTTTTAATAATTTAGTTTCAGTTCAGTTCAGGTTTTTTTTTTTTTTTGAACGTCAATGTTCTCCTTTAAAGTAGCTATAACTGTTGTTTTGTTTTGTTTTTTGTTTTTACTTAATGGCTCAGTATGTTTTGTATTTTAACTTCATATTCAGTCACCTTGCATATGTGTGTGAAATATAATGCCGCATAACCGCGGAAAAAGAAGAAAAAGCTGTAAAAGGTTAGAGCTAATTCATCAAAATAAGCTATATTAAAATACAGCATTTATGTTAATACAGGCAGATTGTGAACAAACTCAAGGCTAAGATATGCGCTTGCCTTTTAATGCATTTAAAAATATTTGCGGCCTTTTTATAGGCTACAGACTACTATGGTGTATAATAATGTTTTTTTTTTTCTTTTTTTGTATGGTAAAGGACAATGCACTTTATGTTATTGATGTAAACTTAGGCTAAAACTTACCATTGATAAACGTGACCTACCTCAAGCAGATCACTTAAAGTGTAATAAAAATAATGTAGGCCTATATATATATATATTCTTAATAAACTTCACAGCCACAAATATAAAAAACACAACTTGTAATAAAAATGGGCGAGGATTAGAAAGAATACGATGCTTGTTATATAATTTAAATTTTGATTCCAATTTCTGCAAGCACATTTTTTCACTCGCTACTCTGCCAGAAACTTCGCCGCCGGAGAGCACCTCAATAATGTAAACATTTGTTTAAAGATGGAGCGCAAGATGTGCCGAGTGGCAACATGTGAAGAACGATGGCAAAGCTAAGTGTGATTATTGTAATAAACTAAGTTATAAAGCAGAGTGTCCCGACCAACAGGACTAAGCAAATGCGGTTGGCTCATTCTTCACGAATATAGAATTAAAATAATGGCGAGTTAGGTTTACTAAGCAGCGCATTCTCTCCGCCTCATCGTTTATAACCAGCGGGACACGCTGCTGAAGCAGGAGAGACACTCCGTCATTCATAATCTTAGCTGATGTATCGGAGTTGAAATAATATATCAAAGAGGAATTTTCTTTTAACAGTCCCGATATGTTTAATCTTTTTTTTTTTTTCGTGTCATTTCTCTTCAGCAAATTATATATATTTTTTAAAGCTGCTTGATTCTTTTAAAACCGAAAGCAGAGCCCGTCAATTGGTGTTTTTCCATAAGATACCCCTTTATGAATGTTTTAATTTTTGATTAAAGTCTTTAATGTGCTTTTTGATAGTTTTATTTTATTTCAAGCAGCACCTAAATGCGAATTTATCCTCAAAACTTGGCATGAGAGCGATGCAAGTCATGTGTCGCATAATTGCCTTTTTTCCCTGCGCGTGCGCGATCAATTTCTGATCTTTTTGCAACTAAAATGAAAGCATAAACATTCAGTACAAATAAGTAGTCTTAAATAAATAAATAAATAAATAAATAAATAAAGCAGTCTTTTAACCTAAATATAGAGAGATGTTCAGTGTTTGCTATTTTGACAGGACTAAGACATTGTTCATGGTAAATGAACATTTTCATTTATGTTTTTATTTCTGTTTTTACTTACATTTTCGTTGTTGATTTAAGTTTACTATCTCATTTTATGTCTCAACAATTGAAGATAATAATAAACGAATAATGAAAATAAATGAATAATGTAAATAGGCCTAAATAAATATTATTTTATTCGTGGCTAGAGCTTGATTAAATTGATTAACAAGCCATGTGCTTTTGTTTGTTTGTTCTCGGTACTGGGTATACGCAAAACATTTTCTAAAATGTCAAGCAGTATTTGTCTATAGCTTTAATTAATTCAAAATATTAAAAATAACAATAATAAAATTATAAAAATACAAAGATAAAGAGCAGCATTTTGCTAAT